ACATGTGGAAATGTATAGTCATTCTCCAGAATCCATGTGGTTTCTATAGATGTCAGATTGGAGATTTCAATGAAGTTAATGGAGATATGATTGGGACCACCCCATCCTTTATATCCTTAATGGTGGTTGGATTAGTCAGGGTTCTCCAGAGCAACAAAACCAATAAAGGATGTGTGTGTGTGTATGTGTGTGGGGAGAGAGAGAGAGAGAGAGAGAAAGAGAGAGAGAGAGAGAGAGAGGTTTTAAGGAATTGGCCCATATGATTGATTTTAGAAGCTTGATAAACCCAAAATCTGATGAGGGAGGCTGGCAGGCTGGAGATCCAGGAAAGAGTCCCAGTTCAAGTCTGAAGGCAGTCTGCTGGCAAGCTAGGAAGAGAAGATGTTGCAGATGAAGTCTGAACAAAGTCTGTTGTCAGAATTTGCTCTTGTTCTAAAGGGGTCATTTTTTTCTTCCATTAGGGCCTTTAACCAACTGGATGAAGCCCACTCACATTATGGATGGCAATGTGTTTTACTTATTGTCCACTGATTTAAATATAAATCTCACCTAAAAACATTTTCACAAAAACATCCGGAATAATATTTGACCAAATATCTGTGCACTGTGGCCCAGCCAAATTGACACATAAAGTTATTCATCACAGTGGTACTAATGTCTGTCATCATTTCTGGGATGCAACATTATTTTTGATTCACTATCTTTGCTCAGGAAAGTGGTTGTTTCAGAGGCTTCCTCTTGGTCTTCCACGGTATGATGGTTCTTTCTCCACTAGCTAAGGATCTACATGGTAAGCCCCAAATCTAACAGGGTCCCATGATGACACTTTAAGTCTTCAAGTATCAATGTCAGCTCAGGCAGTGTGTCCAAAGCCCTCTGTATGTGTTTATTCTTCTTTTCCCGGTGCATAGTCACATAAGTAAATGGGCACAGGTCTCTTTGGGGCAGGACTGTGGAAATCATTACAGTTTATACTTACGGTGTTGCATAGTGGTTCCTTAGGAGCAGCCGTCTCTCCATCACTGCATTATGGGTCTGAAGATCATCTCAGATGCAGGAACTGAAGAGTGAATTATGAATTTTTATTGGCACAACCACCTTTGTCCTGCTGCATCTCTGTTCTTGCCTGTTTCTGATGATAGATGGCAAATGGCAATCTCTTTGGCTGCCCTTCTATTTTTCCTCTGGAGACACCAGATTCTGTAAGTCATTTCCACAACCTCTTGTGGGTCATGCCCCTTAACAGCTATTCCAATGTTGCTGGCCATTACAGTCATGGCAGCCCTCTGACTTCTGGCAGTTAAGCATTGTTACCTGACCTCTACCTTCTTGCTATTGTCCCTATTGCTATTAATGAACCCAACTCTGTGACAGCTTCAGCTCTGGCCCACAAGGACAGCCACCACTACACTTCTTATTGATGCTAGTGCCCCTCTCACCAATGCATTCCTGATGGCCTTGGAGAATAACGTGTTCTCTGAGCCTTGCTGTGGAACATAATGTGCAATGCTGTGGCTTTCTGGCCTTGCATTATGAATCCACTTCCAGCAACCTTTATATTTTTCTTCCTCTACCATTTGCCATGACAACTCTAGTATTTCCAGTTCACTCAGAGTAGGCCATCACTGTCTCTAGGCTTCTGAGAGATATTATGCAGTGAGTTTGCCCCATCTTTGGGGGCAGAGATGAGGTTTTCCTTGCAATGATGTTAAACTCCTTGACCCAAGAAAGTGATCCAGGTTAAGCAACCTCTCTGTCTCTCATACTTTGCCATTTTTTGTTTTATTATTTCTCAGTTTCTCATCCCTCTGCAGGAATCCATAGAACTTTGAAATAACCAGTCAGTAGCACTATTCTTGTAAACATCACTCTTCCTATATCTCCCAAGTGCCTAAATATTTACATTAGCAAAGCTGTTCCCCTCCATCAGGATGCACTCCCAAGCAGTATTCATTTCTCACATTCCACTTGGGATCAGATCCTCCTTGCCAGCCAGACATGAGTGAGCAGTCCCCAACTCTAATTTTACTGCCTGCTTTCTCAGGCCATTTTTTTCCAAGAGTGTCAGTTCACAGCCCCTAGCAGACACCAAGCTAAAATAATATGTGAAAACAATGTTTTGGTGAAAACATCTGTGAAAAATTAAGGGGAGAGGAGCAAGAGTAGGTGGGAAGAGATTTCAAACCACAAAGCAGGTGTGACACTTGTGAAAGAAAAGAGGGAAGGAGAAAAAATGGAGTAGGATGAGCTCCAGGCTGCAGTGGAGCTCTGAGAAGTCTTGACCAGGTGATTGGGAAGGCCTCTAGCAAAGATCATCCATTAGAAGAAGCTTGTGTCAGGCTGAAATGGTTCAACAATAGTACCCCACTCGACCCAGGCATTGTCTGGGAGCAGTGTGGGGGAAAGGGAGGGAGGTCTGAGTATGAATGCTGCAGCTCTGGAGGGGTAGCCACTAGCTGGAGGCTGCTAGCCAACTACACTCAGACAGCATGCTCTTGAAGGGTACACCTACACAATCAGGAGTTTAAGTGGCAGGAGCAGTAAGAAATGAAGCCAAGACCAGAAGGCCAGGTGGAAAATGGAATGGGAGCCTGCAGAGAAGCATTGTAGGTAATAAGCAAGGGCATGTGCAAATTATACCTTTATTTACATGTGCATGGGTGTAGTGGATGGATTTAGTGTATGAGTGTATGGACAGGTTTAATGTTACAACAGGCATGAATGAATTCATGTGAGTACATGGACAGCCATGAGAAATGTGCATTGATAAGGAAAGAGACAAAAAAAAATCTCTAAAAAGCAGACACAAGAATAAAGAAAGCATAGCTTTATGGAGCCATTTAATATTAAGGGAAATCATCTGATAATCCTCAATATACCCAGAGGACAATCACTCTCTATTACTGGAATCATCACTAAAGGGCATTCAAGTTGAATGTCATCTATTTGGGGAGATAAATACGTACATCTTAATATATGTTATTTTAAAAGAGTTTCAACAAAATGAGTTTTAATGTCACATGCTTAAATGGTAAGTCCCTCCATTCTATACAAAATTTTTATAATTTAAAAAGACTTATTTCCCTGATAGATAGCTGTGTTATACTTTATTACCTTTCAAACATTCATGCTGCCTACTCCATTGCTTTTTCTATAATTTAATAGCTACCATTCTGCCAGTTTTATAAATTACATTTCTGATAGACAAGTGTATTATTCTCTTAGACTTCCACAATTCAGAAAGCAAGTGCCAAAAAAATTTAAACTTTAATGTCCAAAAGTACAATTCTTTTTGTGTCACTTAATACAATTCAAGATTCAAAGGAAATGTCTGTGGTTTGCATATTTGTAATTTTCATAGTATCTTCCATAACTGTACAAATAAAAATAAATATAAATCTATATCAGAGTTAAGGCTTAAAATATTTTTAAGGTATATTCAGATTATGACAAAAGAATAGTCTTGAATGACACTCTGTGGCTAAATTTAAACTAAGAAAAGTCATTTGTATTAAGTAGGATCATTAGTTGTAAGTACTTGGAGGCACTGTGTTTTATGGCATAAAGTTAGATATGAGGCCATGATTGCAGTTAAATTTTGAGCAGCAGAAATTTCATTCCTCTGTTATCATCAGTACCACCAATACATCTTCCACATCATTGTTACTATTACTATGTACTTATACATAAGTAATAATATTTATACTACTACTACTACTATAATCACATCTATGCTTTCACATTCCCCTTGGTGGCTTAAAATCTGAATGCTTTAAGAAAAGTGGAGAATGTGGGGACAGACCTGGGTTTGAGTACTAAATTTGCCTCATACTTGTTGTATGACTTTAGGCAGTTTTCTTAACTTGATCATGTCAGGTGCCTTATTTATAATGTAGGGATAATAACACCCACTCCAAACAGTAGTTGTGAGAACTAAACATATGTAAATCACCTATGAAGACTACAAATTTTAATTTCCTGCTAAACTCTCCCCACTACCAGAGAATGATTCCCTCTGCGTCTGGAGAAAATTAGAATGTTTAAATTTTATTCCACTATTTTTTTTAATAGGTTGCTCTCCCCTACTCTGTCCCCTTCTAGAAACAGGCCTGTTTATTGATGTTGCTCTCATTCAAAGGCATCAGGAGCTTCCTAACTGCCAAATCCAGTTATAGTCATGCGCCGCCTAATGATGTTTTAGTCAACAATGAACCACGTATAGGATGGTGGTCCTGTAAGATTATAATGGAGCTGAAAAATTCCTACCACCTAGTGCTGTCCTAGCCGTCATACAGTCATAACACAATGCATTACATATGTGTTTGTGGTGATGCTGGTGTAAATAAACATACTCCTCAAGAAGAGCCCCAGGCAGGTCCTTCAGGAGGCATTCCAGAAGAAGGCATTGCTGTCGCAGGAGATGACAACTCCGCACGTGTTATTGCCCTGAAGATCTTCCAGTGGGACAAGATGTGGAGGCAGAAGACAGCAATGCTGATGATCCTGCTCTTGAGGAGGCCTAGGCTGTTGTGTGTGTTTGTGTTTTAAAAAACACTTAAGAAGTAGAATAAATAAATTTTAAATAGAAAAAAGCTTAAGAATAAGGATATGAAGAAATAATATTTTCGTACAGCTGTATAATGTGTTTGTGTTTTAAGCTATAAAAGAGTAAAAAAGTTTAAAATTTTTAAAGTTTATAAAGTAAAACAGTTACAGTAAGCTGTTTATTATCAAAGAAATAAAATTTAAAAAATAAATTTAGCATAGCCAAGCATACAGTAGTTATAAAGTCTACAGTGTACAGTCATATACCAGGTCTTCCCATTCACTCACTCCCTTCACTCACTCACCCAGAGCTTCCAGTCTGGCAAGTTCCATTCATGGCAAGTATCCTATACAGGGGTACCATTTTCTTATCCTTTATATTATATACTTGCTGTATTTTTTCTGTGTTTAGATGCACAAATACTTACCATTGTGTTATAATAGCTTACAGTATTCAGTACGGTAACATGCTGTACAAGTTTGTAGCCTAGGAGCAACAGGCCATGCCATGTAGCTTAGGTGTGGAGTAGGGTGCACCATCTAGGTTTGTTTAAGTACATTTTGTGGTGTCTGCACAGCAGTGAAATTGCCTGATGATGCATTTCTTAGAACATATCTTCCTCATGAAGATATGCATGACTGCATCTCCTTTATAGTCCTCATTCTATTTGTCCTGTCTGCTGCATGGATGTATTAACCACTCTCCTTGAAACCTTTTGCTTCCTTGGCTTCTTGAAGCCACTCTTTCTTTGTTCATTTCCTTTTTTCCCCTTTAATTTTGGGTTTTCAAAATAGTAGGTATGACACGGAATGCAAGGTCAGTAGCAGAAAGCAGTGAATGGTAAGTTGGTTCTACTTGTGATCCAAGAAGGAAGTAAAAGACATTCAAGGTAAATACCGTGAAGACACAGAAGCCAAGGAGGTGATGTGCCAGAAGCTATCGTGGAAAGCTGGGGCCAAGGATTAGGAGCTGAACACCACTAAGGTAAGGGGAGACAGGAATATAGGGAACAATACCTACGTAACCCAGCTAGTTTTGCCTGACATATTTTTCGTTTTTACCCGGCTCTCATTTTGTGGGCTGGGCACATAAATAATACAAGCAGAATCTTAACAGAAGTGCCAAATACTTTCCACTTTCGTTCCCTTTTGTCCTGTAACTTGGTCCCTATAGTCCTATTTACTGGACTTATCTTTCAATCTAAAGGACTTGTCTTCCAGACTCATTTTTAAACTACCAAGTTTTCCTACAGTTTCTAAACTATCTTCTGGGTCTGTGGTTTTGCGTGTTTTTTGTTTTGTTTTGGTGAGACAGGGTCATCTCACTCTGTCATCCAGGCTGGAATGCAGTGGTATGATCATTGCTTACTGCAGCCTCAACCTCCCAGGCTCAATCCTCCTGCCTCAGCCTCCTTAGTAGCTGGGACTATACGTATGGGCCACCATGCCTGGCTAATCTTTTGGGTCTTTTAAATCTATATGCCCTGCAGTATTTGAAGCTCAGTTGCCTTAATCAAGTTTGGAAACATTACTTCCTAAATGGCTACCTCTTTCAGTTGCATCACCACCTGTACTATCTTTTATATAAGAAAGCATAATATATCATTTTATTTGCTGACATCCAATACGTCATCAAGAGTTTTTTTTAAACATTTTTGTAGAGATAGAGTCTCCCTTTGTTGCCTAGGCTGCTCTCAAACACCTGGCCTCAAGCAGTCCTTCCACCTTGGCATTCCAAAGTGCTGGGATTACAGGCATGAGCCACTGTGCCTGGCCTAAGGTTTTTAAAAATATTTATTGTAATTGTTAATATTTCAACATGACTGTCTTTCATGTAGCCCTTGAGCTAAGCACTCTGCTATCCCTTTATATATAGTACTTCATCTTGGCTCGGAGCGGTGGCTCACACCTGTAATCCTAGCACTTTGGGAGACTGAGGCAGGCAGATGGCTTGAGCTCAGGAGTTTGAGGCCAGCCTAGATAACGTGGTGAAACCCCATCTCTACAAAAAATCAGCTGGGCATAGTGGCACAGGTGTGTCCCAGCTACTTGAGGGGCTGAAGCAGGAGGATCACTTGAGCCCAGGAGATCAAGGATGCAGTGAGCTGTGATAGCGCTAATGCACTCCAGCCTGAGTGACAAAGTGAGACTCTGTCTCAAAAATAAATAAATAGATAGATAGTACCTCATCTAATTTTCATAACAGCCTTTAATGATTCGCCTTATAGGTTTTGTAATCATCTCTGTTTTAGAGATAAAGAGTCTAAGGCTCAGCATATTTAAAATAGTCTTTCATGCTTTAAATACTAGGTTGGTGCACAAGTGATTGTGGTTTTTGCCATTTAAAGTAATGTTAAAAACCACAATCACTTGTGCATCAACCTAATGGTTGTTCTAGTTACACAAAATGGAATTCAGGTGGTTTGACTCTCGATCCTGCTCTCTTGCCACCATATTCTGCTGTTTCTTTGCTCTCTGTGTTTCTTTCAGAAAAGTCTCAGATCCAGCTCCTCCTCTGGCTACAGTTACACAATGTTACATACCTAGGCTCCAAAAGCAGATGGATTTGCATTGGAACCCTAGGGCTCCTGTCTGCTGTGTGACTTTGAACAAGGCTCCTGACCCTCTCTGCCTTTGATTCCTCATTGGTAAATAGGTACATACTAGTGACATCACATGTTGGTTATGAAGTCACATCACAGGTTTCAAATGAAATAATATAAAGAAAAAGGGAATGAATAAAAGCTTAGCTTAACCTACATAAAGCTCTATATACTTAATTGTTGTTACTCTTATTATTCTATGCCAGTATAAGCCCTTAAGTGTTTTCAATGTGTTTTAAAAGATTTCTAACTGGTCTCCCTAACATAAGACCCAATAAATTCATTGTCTTGATTGTCAGAATTATATTTTAAAAAGCTAAATCTGATCATGTCACTTCCCTGCCCCAAAGCTTCTAATGTTCTTGTTCTCTATGTGACTGCCTTTTATGCCATACTGAAGTATCGACTTAAAATGGAATCAACTTCTTAAAACTGAAACGGCATCTTCTACCTTTCTCGTTTATTTCCTGCTACTCTCCCAGAAGTATAGTCTTCATGAACACCAAACCTATTCTTTCATAGACCTACCAGTCCCTTTGAAGCTGATGGGCCTCCTTCTGTTTCCTGTTTCAGTACTTGCCCCATTTAATCTAGAAAATTCCTACTTGTCCTTAAGACCTAGGGATGGCTTCCTCTAAGTAAAAATTGAATGCCTCTCGGTGCTATGAAGAGTACTTTATTCACAGCATTTGTGACATGGAATTTACAATTACTGAATTGCAATTACTTTCCCTAGGGAACGGTCCATTTGTGAATAAAAATCAAATCTGGTTTGGTGTTGTACAGTGTCTAGTACATTATAGACATTCAATAAATATGCCAAATGAATAATGTGCATAATTTACAGTTTACAATGTTTTTTCACATACTTATTTTCATCATATTATCCTAACATATAAGCATAAGATAGTTTGATGCAAGAAGCTATTATTATTATTAAACTGAGACTTAGTAAACATTTCTAGCATTTTCCGCAATTGCAAATCTTTAAAAATACACAAAAATTCCCACCAATATTTTTTTTTAAAGGCCAAAGCTAGCATAGGTCTCATATTTTAAGAACACAGTCATTATATAGATCATGATAATTACCTGTGGGTATTGGTAAATACATTGCAGCTTGATAATTGTACTCTACTTCAAGTTCAGATTAGAGTGTTCCTTTAGTATGCCATGGAAGTAGCTATTTAAAGAGTCAGGCTAAACCTGGAATGAGAGGAACTCTTTGGAATTCCAGTAGCATTCCAAAGTCTTTGCAGTTTCCATCCATTTATTTTATGTGGCAATAACAATTAATTGTTTAAAATTATTTTTAACTAGTAGATTCTGCCATTTCCCCGAATTCCTTGAAAACAGTTGAGCAAATGTAACAAGATACTTCTTACTCAAAATCTAGGGCAGTGTTTATCAAAATGTGAGTAAGGACTCATTAGTGATACATAAAATCAACCGTGTCATCCAAGCAATTTAAAAATGGGATAGAATAGGAAATACTAGAATGTGCTACATGATGTAGGGGTATGATGTTTTGTGAAATCTTCATTTTGATTATGTGTGTGTTTACTGAATTGTGACAAAATATATTTCCCACTGTGGCAGATATTTCTCACTAGATTGGGTCAAAAAAGGTTGAAAGTCACTACCCTACACAACATAGCCATATTGCACAAGGAGTGGGATCAATTCCAAGTAGTCACTTAATAAAATTGGTTTAATAACTTGATAAAATTGTAATCATGTCCCCATTGGGGCCAAAGCTGTAATTACATTATTATAACCCCCAAAACATAATCAACACCTGATTCATTCACCGGACTTAACCTCAAATAACATTGAATTATTTCCAAAAATTAAACCCATCTCTAAGAGGTGAGTATTTGCTACCACAAAAACTAGCAGACGAATTTGCCATAGATTTTAAAGTCAATACCAAAAAAGCACTTTGGGGCTGGGCATGTGCTGTAATCCCAGCACATTGGGAGGCCGAGGCAGGAGGATCATGAGGTCAGGAGATCGGAGATTGAGATCATTCTGGCTAACATGGTGAAACTCCATCTCTACTAAAAATACAAAAAATTAGCTGGGCGTGGTGGCATGCATGTGTAGTCCCAGCTACTCAGGAGGCTGAGGCAGGAGAATAGCTTGAACCCAGGAGGTAGAGGTTGCAGTGAGCCAAGATCATGCCACTGTACTCCAGCCTGGGTGACAGAGCAAGACTCTGTCTCAGGAAAAATAAAATAAAATAAAAAAGGCACTTTGGAAAATGTTTTGAGCAAAAGCAATCACTAAAGTTAGTTTCAGATCACTATCTGTTTGCATATTTATTATATTTAATTATAATCATTGCATAATTTGCTCTCAATGAGACTGAGCCCCTATTGTACGGGAGCATTTTTTTACTATCTGTATTCTTAGTGCCTTTATATAATCTAGCACAAAAGAGACATTTAATAAATGTTTGTCAAGGAGTTGGTATTCATTTGGATAAGTATATGTTCTGAAACATAATGAATGATGCAAGGTTACAGCCTATGCTAAGGCTATTCATGCTTCTTCTTCACTTCAAAGAAGGTACTTTCAAAGTCTCTCAGCTCTACAAAATAGGGTTTTATTGGAGTTTAAAATGTATACCTTTTAAAATCAAAGGAATACAATTTAAAAGCAAAATGATATATTCCTTTGATATTAGAATATCAGGGATGCAAGCAGAGAAATAAGTGCTCTCATACAATTGTGATAGGGAAAACTGAGGTAGTTTGGAAATACATATCAAAAATCTTTAAATATGCTTACTTTTTGATGCAGAAATTTTGCTTCTAGTTCATTCTACAGAAAAATAACAATCTTCAAATATGTATAGAGGGTTATTAAACTTAGTGCTGTTTACAATAGATAAAAATGTCTAATGCTAGGAGATAAATGAATTTTCTAATTTTCTAATTCAATAGAATAATATGCAGCCATAAAAACCACGGTATTCAAATGTATTGGCATAGAAAGGGATTCAGAAGACATACTGTAAAAAGCAGGAAATAGCTGTAAACTACAGAATATTATTCAAAAACATTTTATGCAGTAATAGTCACAAAATAAAATTAATCATTTAAAAGTTAACAGTTCAGTGACTATTTAGTATATTCACATTATTGGACTACTGCCACCTCTGTCTAGTTCCAAAACTAGATTTTCATCATTCCATAAAGATGTCTGCACCCATTAAGCAGTTGCTTCCCATTACCTCCTCCACCAGCCGCTGGTAATCACCAGTCTGTGTTCTGCTCTATGGATCTACCCATTCTGATATTTTATATGCATGGAATCGTACAATATATGACCTTTTGTCTCTGGCTTCTTTCATTTAATGCTTTGGAGGTTTGTCTACCATGTAAATGTCCTTAATTCTTTTTTATGGCTAAAAATATTTCATTGCATATATTTATAGCACAATTTGCTTATCTGTTCATCAATAAAATGGACATTTGGGTTGTTTCCACCCTTTGGTTATCAGGAATAGTGATTGTATAAACATGGGTGTACTGCAGAATATCATTCTAATGATATAAGTATTAGCAGACAAAACATTCAGGAACATTAGCAGCCATTATTTTTGTGTGGACGGATTACAGGTGAATTATTTTATGTTATTCAGAACATTGGACTTTGGAATTAATCAGACCAGATCCCATTTCCTCACTTGTAAAGTAAGGAAAACAAAACCTATGTAACTGAATTATCATGAAGGGTAAATAAATACGTGTATCTAAAGCATTTAGAAATGTGTGGTTGGGGGAAACACATGGTGAGAACTCAACTTGTAGTACATATATTTTAAATCTTCTTTAAAAAATCTTGTTTTTTAAATTAGTGTTAAAGTTTTTTTGCTTTTGGTTTTTTTGCGAGTGTACTTGTATGCTACACAATTAAGATGCATGATCCCCTTCGCTGATGGTCATTTGAGCTGGTGCCAAAGGCTGCTCCGATTTTTAATCTGACATCCGTTTGACTAAGTATAGTTCTACACTGTAACTCTCCCTTTCAAGTTTCAATTAAAATAATGTTCCTAACAGCGTATTCTCCAGCCACTCTGCTACAGCTCCTTTTCCATTCTATTCTTTCTTTCAGCATAACTTTCTCTGTTGCAGACGCAACGACCCAGGTTTTACATTTTAGGAATTGCATGACAGGGACAGAGGGACGGGTGAAGGGCACAGGCTTTCTCATACACAGCTAGAAAAACACATCACCAGCAGGTTTCACCAAATACATAAAATTTCCCCTACAATGTCCCTCTTTTACTCCCCAGAAAATTTCATTGTAAACTCAAAGTTTGCCAAATACGCTCATCTTGAGTGCAGCAGAAGGGTTACGGTCGGGAGCCCGCCCGGCTGCGAGGAGGCACCCTCCTGCCTCCCCTCCAGCCCCACCCCGGGTGTGGGAAGCCCGAGTTCGCGCCTGCAGTCCCCGAGCCGCCCCAGCGCGGGAGTTTCGAGGGGAGCAGGGGGAGAGCTGCGGCGTCACGTGGGGGGCCACTCGGGGACAGGCGCCTGGGGCTAAGTCCCCCGGCGAAGCCACTGCGAAGGGGCCGCATCCCCTAGAGCCTGACCCTGGGCGTTCGCGAAGGCCTCACAGAGAGGGGGAGCTCGCCCGCCGGTCCGCGCCTGCACAGGTGTCCGGGTGGCGGCGCCCGGCCCCGCCTGCGGACCCGCGAGAGGCGGGTGGAGGCGCGCCTGTGCGCCGGGGCCGGGGGCCCGCGGGGGAGGTTCCCGCGAGGTGGTTCTTGGGCTCCTCCTCGGCGCCTCAGGTTTCCTCTCTCCGCCAGCCGGCTGCTGGCTGCGGCGCCGCCTCTCCCTCCTCCCTCCTCCCGCCGCCCCCCTTCCCCGCGGCTAGGCCCACTCTGCGGCCTCTGCCCGCCTCGCCCCTGCCCGGGCCTCCTCCTGCTTTCTCTCTCCGCTTCCCCTCGAACCTCCGAGGAGTCCGTAGCCCCGGGACGCCAGGGAAGATGGCGGCGGCGGCGGGAGACGGCGGCGGCGAGGGGGGCGCGGGTCTGGGCGGCGCGGCTGGGCCGGGGCCGGGGCCGGGACTGCGTGGGCCGGGCCCCTCAGCCGAGGCGCACGAGGGCGCCCTGGACCCCGCGCCCGCCGCGCTGCACCCTGAGGAGGTGGCCGCGCGGCTGCAGCGGATGCGGCGGGAGCTGAGCAACCGCAGGAAAATCCTGGTGAAAAACCTGCCCCAGGACAGCAACTGCCAGGTACGGGGTCGGCGCTGGGGGGCGACGCGTCCCGGGGGACGGGCTGGGCGGCGCTCCGTGTCCAGGCTGGGATCCGGCGCCTCAGAGCGGTCATGGGGAGGGGGGTTGGCGCCGAGTGCTGAGAGCGGCCCCTCGCTTTGACCGAGCTCTTGGGGTTTCTACCCTGCAGACGCCCTGCCAGGGAGGGGGCAGATTGGGAAACTGAGGCTCTGAGAGGCGAAGCGGCTTCTCCAAGGTCACGGGGATCGGGCGGCTGCCGCTAAGTTCGGCCCGCTCTTTTCTTCCCCTACGGCCCTTAGGGGAGTAGGAGGTGAAGGAGAGTGGAGGTGAGTTGTGGAGCACACATTTGGGGGTGCCGAGGCTAAGGGAGCACCTTGACAGGGGCGGGGTTCCCGCATGGAGTCCCCGGGTCTCGGGGGTGCCATAGGGGGCAGGGGCACGGGAGAGCTGGAGTGAGTTTCACTGTTGCAGAAGCGCTTGACCAAGTTTCTATGAAACAACTCTCTTCAGTTTGCTAAGGCCC